TTTAAAAGAGATGAATAATGTGAAGGGAACATTTTAAGATGTCAACCAAGTGAATTAATAAGGGGAAGCTTTTTTATTTTAAAATGAAGAAGCAGGGCAGGACAATTTTTCAAGCTCCTTCCAGCCCCAAAACCATGAGATTTTTTTGTTCTTTGTACATGCTCTGAACATTGCAATTGTGTTGTATTCAGGCCTCTGAGAAGGCTCTACTTTGGCCTTTTAAACTGGTTGTAAGTGCTTCTGCTGGTGACTTAAAAAACACAAATTTTTAAAAAATGAAATCCTTTTAGGATGTAGAACTTTTTAATGGTGATCAAAGATGGAGTTTAGACACTGTATTTGAATTGCTTTTCCTGTCTTCAAGGTATGCACATTTCAGAGTCAGTCCGATGGTAGCTAACTGGGATGGGGATCGGGAAGAGATGCCATTAATCCATCAAATGCTACATTTTGGTTTACAGATTTTTACAGCCTTCCAAGTTAACATCATGGCTTTTATTGCAACATTCAAGGGGTGATAGTAGTGAAGAAAAGCATTTTCTCAGTAATATCATTTTAGGACAACATTATCAACTTAAAGTCAATATCCTTTCCATTAAAGTTGTTACAGCAATACATGGATTAAATATTTCTCAAAGACAAATTAAGAAATACTTGCCCTGGCCAAGTGGCTTAGTTGATTTGAACGTCAACCCCTACACCAAAGGTCTTGGGTTACATCGCTGGTCAGGGCACATACCTAGCTTGTGGGTTCCATCCCCAGTCAGGGTATATATAGGAGACAACAACACATCAATATTTCTCTCCATCTCTCTCTTTCTCTCTCTAAATGTCAATAAACATATAAGGATATGTTCAAATAAGGAGTTGAAGCTTAAAAACAAAAGAATTTCTTAAACTGAGGTGTGATATTTCATTACAAACAATTCATTTGTTTACTTGGAAGGTGGCTTAGAGAAAGAGTAGTAAGTGCTTTGCATAGTGCTGAGTTGAAGTCAGACTGCTTCACAAAAAATTATATCTTTGTTATATAAAAACATAATTTGTTGTGTCTTAATCTGTGAGTGACCTGATTACCTTAATTAAATCCTAAGAAAATAGCCTATAGAGTGTTTGTTAAAGAACAAAGTAAACACAAAACAAATAGTTTTTCTTGGAGATAAATATGCAAAATAAAAATTGTAGGGGGAGTAATTTGAGGAGGATGAGACCCAACTCTCTGATTTAACCTTTTGGCATTCTTCTTGTTGACTGAGCCTATCCCTTGCTTAAGAGTAAGAATTAGTGCATTCCTTCTTTTTAAGGTCCTACACAGAGAGCAAGGGGGAATATATCCTTTTGACATTGCAGTTTGAGACCTACTATTAAAGGCCCTATTTTTTTTGATAGTCTAAATAGGTATATTTATTTAGTCACAGGAAATTATGCACACTTTTAATATCAATGCAGGAAACAGTCAAGCAACTTCTACTCAATACTAGAGGAGGGAGCATAAGGAGGTGATTATCAGACTAACAATAGATGTCTTCCGGGGAGTGTGCTCTGCATATGCAAAAGCCATTTTCATAGGGACAACAGTACCTATGTATGACCTTCCTCAAGTAAGAAATGTTAGGTTGAAACAGCTTCATCGATACTTCTTTAAAGCAAGTTTTTCTTTTTCTTTTCCTTTTTATTTCTTCTCTTCTCTCTCTCTCTCCCTTCCTTCTTTTCTTCCTTCCTTCCTCCTTTCCTTCTTTTCTCATTTTCTCCTTTCTTCCCTTCCTTTCTTCCTTCTTGTCTGTCACTCCTCATCTGGAACTATTCAGGAATGAGACAACAACATGTAGATAATTATCTTTCTGCCACTGGATATTTTTTATTATATTCAGAGAATCTAAAGGGGATATTGAAAGGAGATACTGTTTTTGTTTTAATTTAAAAAAAATTTTTATGAGAAAAAACTTTGCTAGTGTCTCCTTTGATTCAAAAGGAAAATTGAGATTTGAATATATATGTACATTCATAGCTTGCCTTTCATCTGAAGGGCTTTTGTTACTACTTCACAGATGTCATAATACCCTGTTGTCAAAAATGTTTTAGGTAACTTATAGAAATATTATGACAGTATAGCTTGTGTGATCTAACTTTGATAAACTCTAGGATTAAAATGCACAGATATAAAGACAGGTTTTGAGAATGAGAAGAAATGATGGTCTTTTTGACAAGGCATTAATATTCGATTCACTGTATTTGGGAATTCCAACAAGTTACGATCTCCTTGCCCAGAAAATTCAGTAGAAAATTGAATTTGAGCAAGGGTGAAAGTTGAAAATTTGATATGCCCTTTTGACTTGTTGCCGTGTGCAGAAGGAGAGAATATGCTACAAAAACATTTTCATATTGCACTGAAAGGAAAAAAAATTACGTTACAAATCAGTTATCCTGTTGACTTCATGTTGTTTGATTGGAAGTAATCTCCCTCTGATTGTTTAATTGCCTATAAATGCTTTTCCTTTGCATCTAATGATGACGATTCTGTCAGGCATAGTCTGTGAGTAGCTTAATGTTCGGCTCTTACGCTTCTTATAGATGTGGCACATACCTCTTCTTAATTCATAGAGCCTTGTATTGTTGACTTCCCCCAAACAAAGCACAATTGCATTTAACCCATCCTTTTCTTCAGAGGAATAGTCCTTGAATTGTCTTTAATATGTCAGTGTATAGAGATAATGTATAGTGGTTTTCTAAGAGAATTTAACAGTTTGTTTTCATTTCTATGGTGGATAAAATACATTAAGATAAACATAATAGAAAGGATTGTTTTCATCATATTTTATTGATTATGCTATTACAGTTGTCCCAGTTTTTCCCCATGTGCCCCCCTTCACCCAGCACCCCCACCCACTTCCTCAGGCAATCCCCACATTGTTGTCCATGTCCATTGGTCATGCATGTACATGGTCCAGCACAAATAACACCCCTTTTTTATTTCAAAATTATAAATATGTACTTCTGTAACATAACAATATCACACTCAAACATACCATATGACATTTTAGGTGAAATGTTCAACTTAAAACTATAAATTATTACATCCATCTTATTACTCTAACAACCACACTCAGGCAGGCCTTACTGCTGCCAGACCCTGTATATTTTTTGGCTACTCTATTTCTTATGCTGTACTTTATATCCCCATGACAATTTGGTAATTACCAATTTGTACTTAATCCCTTCACTTTTTTTGCTCATTCCCCTGACCCCCCTCCCATCTGGCAACCATCAAAATGTTCTCTGTATGTATGATTCTGCCTCTGTTTTGCCTGTTTGCTTGTTTTCTTTAGATTCAACTGTTGATAGATATTTTTGATCTTCTCTTTGTTAAATAAATCCCTTTAACATTTCATATAATAATAGCCTGGTGATAATGAACTTTAGCTTTTTCTTATCTGGGAAGCTCTTTATCTGCCCTTAATTCCAAATGGTAGCTTTGCTAGGTAGAGTAATCTTGATATTAGCTCCTTGCTTTTCTTTACTTTGAATATATCTTGCCGATTCCTTCTAGCCTGCCAAGTTTCTTTTGAGAAATCAGCTAACAGTCTTGTGGGAACTCCCTTTTAGGTAACTAACTGCTTCTTCTCTTGTTGCTTTTAAAATTCTTTCTTTGTCTTTAACCTTCGGCATTTTAATTATGATGTGTCTTGATGTGGTCCTCTTTGGAACTCTCTACATTTCCTGGACTTGTATATCTATTTCTTTCACCAAGTTAGGGAAGTTTTCTCTCATATTTTCAAATACATTTTCAATTTCCTGCTCTCTCTTCTCCTTCCAGCACCGCTATAATGCAAATGTTGGTACACTTGGAGTTGTCCCATAGGCTGCTTACACTATCCTCATTGTTTTGGATTCTTTTTTCTTTCTGCTGTTCTGATTGAGTGTTTTTTTCTTTCTTATATTCCAAATTGCTGATTTGATTTTTGGTGTCATCTACTCTACTGTTGATCCCCTATAAAATGTTCTTCATTTCAGTTAGTGCATCCTTTGTTAATGACTCATTCTTTTTCTGGATTTCACATCCTTTTTATTAATGCTGTTGAAGTTCTTTGAGTTCATCTTCTCTCCTCCTAAATTTATTGAGCATCCTTATAACCAGTGTTTTGAATTCTACATCTAGCAGATTGCTTGTCTTCATTTAGTTTAGTTCTTTTTCTGAAGTTTTGTTCTGTTCTTTCATTTCATTTATATCTTTGTTTAATCATTTTGGAAGCATCCATGTGTTTTTTTACATGTATTAGGTAAACTGTTATATCTCCCAGGCTTCACAGAGTGGCCTCATGCAGTCGGTGTCCTATAGGGTCCAGTGGCATAGCCTCCCCTATCACCCAAGGCAGGTACTTGAGGTATGCTCATCATGTGGGCTGTGTATAACCTCCTTCTGTAGTTGAGCCTCAGTTGCTATTGTCAGGTCAATGGGAAGGGTTTAGCCAGGCCGATCAGCTGCAAGGACTGGCTGTGACCACTGACCACCAACTTCTGGCAACTGTGGAGAATCAGCTGTGCAGAGTCCTATTCCATAGAACAGGACTTAACTTCCTCAAGGCTCTGGTGCCTGCTGAGTCCACCCCTGAGTGTGTTGCTTATGGAGGTGATTGGATGGTGGTGCTCCAACATGGTCTGCCGCTGTCCACTGGATGTGCAGGCTCTTGAGTTTTTCAGGCAGGCACTTTAATGGGGACTAGGGTCATCCTAGGTATGTGGCCTTGAGCTGTTAGAAATATATTAGCATTTATTCAAGTCTTTATAGGGTAAGGTTGAGGCCTGGCTGAGAAGAGGGCTCAGAAGAGCCTGCCTAGAGCTTGGTTGGGAAGGGAGTCTTCATCAGCAATAGTTACAAAATTGACAGCATGCCCTCACCTTCTTATAGTAATAGTGACTATTGTATATTAACTGTATATGGGAGAGTTTGAATTTAAAATTTTAACTGAAAAAATATGATAAATTATGCTGTTTTGTTTCAGGGCCGAGATCTGGACTGTAAAATTCAGGAATATAAAGAAGCCGGAAAAACTTTTTCTGAAGGTCAAATAATAGAATGGTTTATCCAGCTATTGCTGGGAGTTGATTACATGCATGAAAGGTATGTTCGCTTGTTACTGAGGGACAGGATTTTTTAAACAGTCATATCTGAACTTGAGCATGAAGTTTTGGGGGGAAGAATTGAAAGAAAGCAAGATCAAAAGGTAAATGACTATGGTAGAAACATATATAATGTGCTTTTTCATGAAAAAACAGTTGAATGATTATATGTAGAAGATTTACTTGAATTGCTTTTTACTGTTGTTCTAGAAATCAAGTTGGCCTTGAATGCAAGACAGAAAATTGTATTAAACACATTCACTATATCTGATCATATCCTGTGAATCACAAGTGATTCTCAGATACCTTTAGCATGCTGTGAATTTATTATGTCTTACCACAGCCTGGAGCTATAAATACTTTAGGATGCTGAAAATGCATTGCACGGTCACCTTGGAAAGTGTCCGCACACATTTAGCTGAGTTTACTTCTCAAGATGAACTAACTGAGGCAAAAGATACTGTTTGGTACTCAGACCAAAAGTCAGTTTTGACATGAAATATCTGATAGAGAAGGTCAAGGTATGCTTTATGAGTTCAATTGTCTATAACTTGTATTTACAGTCTACCTCAAAAATATATTCTAAAATCTTTAAGAAGTTTTAGATGTTAGAATGTACAGACCTATACAATGTATGAACACACTTAAAAAGATGAACATACTTAGACAAATGAAAATAGGTATTATGAGATGTCTGTGTTAGCTTTTGACTTAGGAGTAGGAGAAACATGTTGTAACATTCTTCTTGAACAAAGTGAAAGTCTTTGGGGTACACTGAGGTCTGCCTATCCATGCACGCCAGATAACTTAGATGTGTCATCTGTGTTTTCTGATCACATAAAAGTAATCAGGTAGTCCTGTGCTTTTCCAGGTATCTTCTGGAACATATTGACTCATTGGCAGCCCCTAACAATCTTTTGATGGATGTAAAACCATTCTAAGAGACAGTGATAAAAGAATAACAAGTAATCTTTTAATAAACTACCTAATGCTGCTGAATGTAGGATATTTGTGTACATAAGTTTATATTGTAGTATATCTTTTATTTTCTTTGCTATTCCATGGCATATGTGTTAGCTTATACATAAGGAAAATAACACATAAAAAGATGCTAACTTTGGTGTTTTGTGTGCAAAAAACAAAACTGAAATCTGATTCATTTAGGAACCCAAATATTTTTTGACACATTTGGTTCTAATTAGTACTAATTAAAATAAAGAAGTTTGAAAATAAAATAACCCTTCAAAGAGAGGATTTAAGTTTTTTAGAATCCTTCAACATTCCAAGTAAGTCATTAAATGGAGCTTAAATATTTGGATATTTGTGGAACTGTGGATCTGAAATACTATCCTTTGAGGCACCTAACAAACAATGGTGCTTCTTATTCATTATGTTATTACAACCAATTACAAAGTTTTTATATGTAAATAGAAAATTTTCAGTTTTATATTTATACGTTTATTAGATAGTGATAAATAAAATATAAGGCCAAACTTCAAATTGCTGCTAATAAACTAGCAGAGATAAAACATGGGCCAAAATAACTGTAAACCATGTATCACGGTGGATATAAAGGATAGAGTATTTCTACCACACACTATTATGGCCCTGGGTAAGTTGCTTCACCTCTCTGAGCCTTTGTTTTCTCATCTGTAAAGTGGGGATAATAATGACATCCTCCCTGCTTACTTATAGGGCTGTAGGGAATACGCACTGAGATATACCTTTGAAAAGTTTGTGAATTACTAAGTCGTGTGTAAATGTCATCTGTGGCTGTGATTCAATGTAGAAATGAGGGCATAGCCACTGGAAAGGCTAAAAAACCTCTCGACAATAACAAGTGTTGACAAAGATATGGAAATACTGGAACACTCTTACATTGCTATCAGGGTATAAATTGGTATTAATTGCTTTGAAAAAATGTTTAATAGTACCTCCAAAGCTAAATATTCAAATACCTTGTGACTCAATTCTCTTCCTCAGATGAAAATTAACTACCTGTGTATAAGCCAGTCAGAGAAAGACAAATACCATATGATTTTACTCATCTGTGGAATCTAATGACAAACTGAATTAACAGGCAAAACAGAGACAGACTCATAGACAGAGAGCAGAATGACAGCTATACAGTGAGAGAGAGTAAGGGAAGGAGAGACTGAGCAAAAAGGAAAAAGGACTCATGGACATGGACAACAGTGTGGTAATGGTGGGGGAGGCGTGTATAAGGGGACTAAATGGTAATGGAAAAAATATAATAACAAATATTGAGAGAAAAAAAGAAAAATAATTACCTGTGTCCAACAAAAGACATATGCAAACTTGTTCATAGAAGGCTTATTTGTAACAGCCAAAACATTAAGAAATGTCCTTATAGCCCTGGCTTGGTGTCTCAGTTGGTTGGAGCATTGTCACATAAACCAAAAGATTGTCGGTTCAATCCCCAGTTGGGGCACATATGTGAGGCAACCAGTTGATGTTTCTCACATTAATGTTTCTCTCTCTGTCTCTCTCTGTCCCCATCCCCCACCTTACTCACTCTAAAATCAATAAACATATCCTTGGATGAGCATTAAAAAATATCCATTTAGAGTAAATGGTTAAGTAAATTGTGGTATAGTCATACAATGGAATTCTACTGTTGAAAACAATACACAGTTGCTAATGCATGACCTGTATGAATCTAAGGTACATAATGTTGGGTGAAAGAAGCCAGATGCAACATACTGTATACTTTATGACTCCATCTACATCAAGTTCAAAACCAGGCAAAACTAATCTAAGGGGAGTCAGAATAGACTGAAAAGGGATTAGAAGGGGCACTAAGAATCCCTCTGGGATGCTGTAAATGTTTTATATCTTGATTTGGGTGGGTTACAAGGGTGATAAATTTATCAAGCTTAAGGTTTTTGCACTTTAATGTAAGTAATACTCTAACTTAAAACAAGTGATAAGAGTGCAAGAAAAGTACAATGTAAGGGATATAGGAGATAAGAAGAGGGACAACATTTCTATCTGGGAGGATCAATGAAGGCTTCTTGAAGAAGTGATATTTGACCCAAGGTAGGTTTTGAATATGACGTAAAATGTATACCTGGATGTTTCCAGGTATAGGGAACACAGGGAGCACTGCTAGAGCGGAAGATGAGTGGTTCAGTCAGGAAGGCTCTTGGGTGCATGAATGAAGTTGTGAGGAAAGGTGGATTGAGATCAAGGTATACAGGCTTTATTTTGCAGTATGGACATTGATGCCACAGGAACCTTTTTCAATCAAGCTATAATATAACCAGAGCTTCAGGAAGATTAGATAATATATTTCAGAGGGGAGAGAGAGAACCATGGGCTATCAGTCTGGACCATTTTATAATATCCGCACATGAAGTTGTAAGACCTGAAACAGCATGGCAGCAGTGGGCAGGATGTGGAAAGATGAGGGTGTACTCAATAAGTTGAATTGACTAGACTTGAAATTAAGTGAATAGGAGGTGGTCAAGGATGAACCCAAGGCTCATCACCCAAGGATGAATGAAACGTTGGAAAGACAGATTTTAAACAATGGTGTTGAGTTTAATTGTGAATATGCTGGTTGGAATATGGAGAGAGAATGAAAGATGGGGATGGAGAGGGAAAGGAGGAGGTAGAGCAAGAACGAAGTCCTAGATCTTGGGAAAACACCAGGTCTTGTCTGTTTGAGATCCTCCAATATCAGACCTTGAAACAAAAACCTGGATACAAGACGCTTAGCTAGGAGGTGATCTCAGGAAGCAGAAGCCAGTGAGTGAGATGGGGAAGTGAGAAAAGCCATGCAGGGAACCTTGTTCCGCTGGTCCTTGCTGTGAGTAGAGGGATGTAGCAGCATTCTTCTATATATGTTTTAGGTTTGGGGTTCTTCTTTATGCATTCCTTCAGAGCTTTTTTTGAAAATTCTTGCCCACATATAACTACTGTTTTCTGGCCCTATTATGAAAAATTCCTCATATTTCTGGGAATTTGGAGTGGCAAGGGGAGACAGGAATCTCCATCCTGATCCAATTTCCAGAATAGTTTTTAACTGGAGAAATGCTATGTTATTCCTGATCATTAATATGTAATCTACTTTTCACCTGTTAGTTTTCAATATTTAATATCTATAGGTCTCAAGTATGTTTCCTGAAGGAAACAACTACCTTAATTATCTGTTTTTAAACAATTTAAATCCAAAAAATGACTCTATTAATATATGGCATAGGCACTTATATACAATGATGTAAAAAGGTAAGAATTTTCACAGTTCACTAGGGGCTACCTGGGAATATGGGATTAAAACTGATTCCTGCTGAAGGGAGCCATGCTGTGCTAACAAAACCCCAAATCACTGGTTTACAGCAATTGTTTTTTGCTTGTATTGCCTTTGGCAGCTGCAGGTCAGCCCTGAATCTGGTCTGTATGCCCTCCCATTCCAGAACCCAAACTGAAGGAGCAGCTCCTCTTCGGGAGAGTTTCAGAAACACTCTGTGACTTTACCGGTTCTGCTCAGACATTGCAATCACCTTGTCTGCTAACGTGCCTTTGACCAAGCAAGTCACATGAGCAAGCCCAATGTCAGAAGGGTGGGCATACCTGTTCCTCCCAAAGGGGACAGTTACTGCAAGGCAAAGAGGTTTGAATATTTGGGAAGAAGAACACAGCCTACTACAGTGTTTTACTCAGCTTTTAACTTAAAATATTCCAAAGTATAGCCAATATAAATAGATCTAACAACAAAGAGTTATTCCAGCCTTTTTCTCATATTGTCTATAATATATATTAAATGAATTTTGAAAATTACACAGATTGCTTACAAATGAGTTAGGAAAAAGATTGCCTTGGAAACAATACATGTGAATAAGTTAGGTTTGGCTCCTCTGTTGCAAATACCTTGCCAAGTATTTTAGTGCATGTGATGGTTAGTTTCATGTGTTAATTCGAGTGTGCCATAGGTGCCCAAGCTAAACATTGCTTCTGTAAGGGTGTTTCTGGATGAGA